ATACTTATATACATAGTAACAAACAGATCAGTTAAGTTGGTAAAATTTCAATGCTAAGGTTTATCGCTTCGTTATTAGATTTCGGGGCAATTCGCAACGTAATTAACAATAATCATAATGTGAAATTGCATCAATTGACCAAAACTTATTAGTAACAACCGCAGCTAGCGAAAAGTTTTGAATTAATTGTTGCAACTTACCTGCTGCTACAAAAACAGTTCTAGTTCTTCTTTACCACCAATGATTGGTTATTGTTTGTCCTTTTCCACCAGTCGTTAGCATCTATGGAAAAAAAGGAACGGTTAGTATTTTGAATAGTTACAGTTTTAAATTTACTAATGGTGGTTTATTTTCATCTTATTCTAACGCTCGTAAAAATAAAACTTTCAGGAAAGGAGACCGGATTAATAGGAAACTGTATTGTGCACAGTATTCTACCTTATTCTCTCGTTGGGTCTAATACCCTATAGAAGTTATATCACATTAAAAAATGGTATCATAACAACCGTGTAATACAATATAGACAATGAATTACGAAGACTTAGAACGTCGAATACCTCGCATGCTAGAGGAGGTGGAATCAGAAGATGAGGTCTTTGATGACGTTTCGGGCCAAGAAGACAACCCAGTAGAAATTTTGCCAACACACGATGAGTATGTTCAATCGGATGCTGAGCTTAGTGACAGCGATGACGATAACGTCACGTCGTTGTTGCTATTGCGATAGGAAAAAGAACCGCAGAACAAAGTATAGTTCTCGGCATATAACAGTGATTGTTATATGCCGAGAAAGTTCATCTCGAGTAGATATTATGGATAATAACGACCAATAGTTTATTATAGTTTTCCTAAAATAATAATTAGTAGCTTTTAGGTGTGTTTCCTTTATTTTATTTTATTATAATTTAGATCATAACTAGAATTATATATAGAATGATCTAAAAATAAATGCAATTTCAGAGTTCATATTACACAGTGCCATTGACAATGAATTTGATTTATTTCTAAGATAATTATAATCAATTTTATAAGTTGTAAGTAGTACAAAAGACAATTTCATTTTGTTTTGTTTTTGTTGATTTATAACGTTGATTTTCAACCAAAGACAATAATTCTGAGTTTTTATAGACCTTTGTTCTATTAAGTACAAATAAAAAAATAACGGATAAATAATATGTTTTCTATTTTATTTTACATGTATAAGACCTCTTTTTAATCATCTGTTATACAGAAAGTCGAAATATTCATTTGTTTTCCCAAACAAGACATTTAAAGTTGCGGAATCAGAGACCGCGCGCGACTGCTTAAGTTCGGCGCAAGGGTGCGACCGCTGGAGGGTTAAATACATTTTGTAACTCAGTTTATCTAAAACATACGTACCTTTTAAAATCAGGTATTTTAGACAGAAGACACCGTATGCGATAGCTTGGGAGAGTGTTAGTATTCACGAAAATTTATTTATGATCCATTCAGATAAAAATCTAAGCCAAACACCGCACTTAATAAACAAGGAGATCTCGCGACCCACTGTCCCGGGCGGCGGCTCGGACAACAGTGCAGTGCGAGAGCGAGAGCGAGAGAGACGACACATATCAATATTGATTACCGCTTGGGAGGGTCCAATGCGCAGTATTTCTTTTAATCTTTTTTTTTAAATAATATAAGGGTGACAAACGAGCACACAGGCCACCTAATGGTATGTGATTGCTGTGGCGCATAGATATCTACATTTATCCTCGATTAGGAACCAATACGTTTCCACCCTGAGGACTAAGGTGGAATGCCTCGTTTCCAATAAATAGTATATCCTCCCGCAGACGTGTTAAGAGGCGACAGATAGAGACTGAAACAAGGGACTGACAGCAGCATCTTCCTGATAACATCTTACATAAAATGACAAACTGCGGCTGCCACTTCTTCATGTTATCCATATCAGATAACACATTCGTGAAAAGGAGAATAAGAAATTATCAGTAGCGTTTTTATTTATTTACTAGCTGTTCCCTGCGACTTCGCCCGCGTGGAATTTATTACGTTTGGATTAAATAAGCCTTAATTTTTTGCGCCGTACCCTAATTGTTCTTCTAAAAAAAAAAATTGCCTTAGTTACTCCTAATAACATCAGTTATCTGCTAACGAAATACCCGTTAAAATTGGTCCAGCCATTTCGAAGATTAGCCTGAACAAACAGACAGAAAAACAGATCGACAGACAGAATATTTTTAAAATTATTTTTCTATTAAAGGTACCGTATAGACTTTCTTAAGCATTTAGTAAAAATATGTTATTTTGACATTACAAACAAACACTTAAATATTTATCGGTATTAGCGATGACGTAAAATTATCTTCAATCATACTCGTATACATCGAATTTCAATAATAAAAAAACGGCTGTTGCCAAGCCGTTTGCCAAGCGTGGCAACTTTAAAAAAAAATTGAAGTGACATACGATATATTCCTTGTGATGACAAGTAGCTATTAGTAAGGAAGGAATCCTACCAATAATAGAGCTGCTCCTTTCTAAAAGCCGTTAACGCACCCGCAATTCCCCAGTTGTAGATGTTCATGGGCGACGGTGATCTCTCCCATAAAAACACATAGTATATACTATATATTATGAGACAATCTATGCGGGATGAATGTGCTCATCAGTGAACTTTTGATGAGTTATAATTAATGAATAGAGACAATAAATGAAGAATTCGTCTTATGTATGAATTTTTGGATAATTTGAATATTATTTAACCAACTTATCCAAAATTTAATCCTTGAGTAATTGCTCCTAGGGAGACGAAGGGCGTGACCATGAGGTATCGATTTGTAGGCTGTCTGTGTGCATCTAGTGTTAACTGCGTCGTTGTGTATTTTCACGGAAAGTTGTGGAAATGTATTGCGACGTTGATTTTGTGGAGCATAAAAAATGGAGAGCCGTATTTTGAACGAATTATAAGTCCTTTATGAAATAAATGTTTGCATTTTAGACGGTAAATTAATCATTTTGTTTTTTGCTTTTAATCCTGCGAGTGTTGACGTATCTCTTTTATCTTACAGCCAATTTTCAGTTACGTGTATGCCAATTAAGAATATTAAAGGTTATGAAGATAGGAAATGAAGAAGATAGAAAATTTTTGCATAATATAAAAATAATTACATTCTACATCGGTGTGGTACAAAATTAATCGTTCTCCAAGTAAAATAACACGAAAGTTAGGATTGTGTACAGGTTCAGTTTTGTTAAGTTTATTATTGGGAGAGAATGTTTAAATTTTAAGGCATACCATATTATATATTGGTTAGTTACTGCGAGCTGTACCTGAACCGGTGTTATTAATTACACGTCTTCATGAGATCTGGCATTATAATTACTGCAGATCATATGTTAACACTGGACTCTAAGCACACCGCCTCTACACGGTTTACAAAGACAACATTCTAAGAGATATAAGTCTCCTGTTTTATCTTATTAAATGTTTATATTATTAAACTAAAAAAACAATATAAACATTATATATCTAAATGAGATTTTTATATAATAAAGTGACAAACAAGCACAAAGTCCACCTGATGGTGATTGCTTACAGTGGTCCATAGACATTTACATGTCCATAGACATCTTCGATAAATAATCGAAATGCAGATGCGGTGTCATACCTGTGGACTACTGTGGGGGCTCTGGTTCTCAACACTCATCATACAAAAACAAAGCAGCATTAACCTGCTATTTTGCGCTGGTATTCTGTGAGAGCGTGGTCCTTTCCCGATCGAGCCGAACTATCTGTGCTACAAACTTATGTAGCATGGCTCTGCTACGTATAAAATACCGTATTGCAAAAATATAATAAAATAGAATATAAATTGGATGAAGGAGCGATCGATTAAAAATTTATTTATTTATTTAAACTTTATTGAGTCGTACATAATAAGTACAGGAAAAAAAGGTGGACTTAATGCTAAAAGTATTCTCTGACAGTCAACCTTAGGCCAGTGATAGAACTAGGAAGGCGGTTACAAAGATATGTACATACACACATACATATAATCTTAATTTTTCAGGCAGGTCATTCCATTGGCGCGCGGCTTACACAGCAAACGATGAAGATATGAAACTCGAACGGTGACGGGGTATAAAGATTATAAATTTTCGTGAATACTAACACTCTCCCAAGCTATCGCATACGGTGTCTTCTGTCTAAAATACCTGATTTTAAAAGGTACGTATGTTTTAGCTAAACTGAGTTACAAAATGTATTTAAAGAACGTTTTCAAGTAATCACCTCCTCTATAATATTTCTCTTCGGTCCAGACAAAACCTTTAACTTTTATGTCCTTTGTACTCCTCCCAACCTTATCATCATTACAACTCTTCACAAGTCCACTGCTGAGCATAGACCTCTCCCAAGCAATGCCACAAAACACGCTCCTCACTTGCATCCATCGAATTCCTGCATATATTACCGCCATACACTTCGCTTACTGCTACGAGGTTGCCACTCGAGAACCTTTATTTCCTGTCGATTGTCGGTTCTTTGAAATATATGGCCCATTGCCACTTCGGCTTACTTATCCATTGAACTATATCGGTTACTTCTCTACTATTTATAAAAATATTTTTTAGTTCTTGGAGTTAAGCTTTGGAGCTCCTTACGGTTTAGATGTAGATGTCTATGGAACACAGCATCCACTTACCATCAGGTGGAATGTGTGCTCGTTTATAACGTATACTTTAATACTTGAAAACTAAAGTGCAGAACCAATGACATATAAATTTGTGATGATATGCCCAGTGGAACCAGACTAACTGACATAGCCTAAAAAATCAGTAAAATATTACCAATACAGTAAATCAAATAAGTAAAATAAAAAAAGCTATGTTCTGTCCTGCTCTGACAGTAATCAATATTGCACAGACGCGTTCAGTGTCAATGCTATAGCACTTATACAGCAGTATAGCAAACATTTTCGCCCCGTTCCCGCCCACAAATTAATCGATAGTGCACCAGTCGCATCCGAATTCCCGGGCTAGCTGTCTCCACTCAGTTTACTCCGAGATTACTAGTAAGTAACCTTTTACCACTGTGATCATATAGTTGTGATGAATAAGATTGGAAATGTATAAATCAAACTACTGATATTCCTAAGATTTGAAGATTTGAAAATAGTTAAATATGTAAACATTTTAAGAATACGGTACTGGGGCATTGTTTTGGTATATATAAATACAGATGTGATGAATTTATAATTAAATTGCAACATTACAATGGTGATGACACTGTGTGACTATTTAACGTAATACGCTGTCACTTCTTTCAAAATTTTCCATCTAAACCAATTTTTTTTTTGGTTGACAGTGGTCAGGCTAGCTGACTGCATTTTGAAGTACCCCTTGGGGATTACAGGCATGACGTATCCTAATATTATTGTAACTAAACTATCATTTATTATAAGGAATAAGTATAATTTCCCGTAGCTAAAAATTTATTGGTAAAAAAGCAGAAATAACCCATTTATTTTATTTTCAGATTATTGCCGACAGGTACTTGAAGTCTTAAGTGAACATTTTACCTTCGGTAATTCGGGGTAGCGGTTCATTTTTACCATGAAGCCATTTACTGGGATTTCATCTGTCGAAAATGGACATCCAATTTTAAGTAAGTTCTAATTATAAGTATCCTCCCTTTAGATTTTTGTGGGATTTGGTATTCCCGCTTTGCGAAAAGTCATCAAGCGGCCATTATCTAAATCTTTATAAATAAACATGTAAATATTCTTTTGTTCCAAATATTTTATATATATTATAGTCTCCGGTAGTTATTCACCGAATATTATGAAATTTTGACACAATTTTGACGAATCAACGAGTGTTTTGGAACGAAGTTCTTTATCGGACGGTACGGGTTTGGCAGATGTGAGCTAGCCGACAAAAGGTGTAAGATTTTTTCGTCCCTACTCCTTGTGTCATAGTGTAGACGGCTTTGGCGGCGAAATAAGGAAGTGAGATGGAATAATATCCATCTCCCTCGCACATTTTCTTATCTTGCCATGAAAGAAATATTATTTTATTTCAAATGACGCTCCATTTTAATAGACGCTAGTAAGTGATTTATTAAGTATTTGTCAGTATTTGTCAATCAATAATATGATACCTACGTTTATCAATAATAATATACTACGCAAGGAACTTCGTTCCAACCGAGTGTTCCAAGACCATTGAGTTATATGTACTACGTACTAGAGAAGCCCTTCCGGACATTGACTATGTTCAACTGAACTGTAGTGCAATCCATACAAACTAAATACTTATTGCGTAAATTGAAGATTTGTGAATTCCATAAAATAATATTTATTACATTTTATTTAGAAATATGTTTGTTTAGATTAAATTAAGATATTTTATTTTAATTCTTATATTTATTTTATATTAATATCTTATTTTATATCAAATTAAAGTCTTCGCACATGCGCGACTACTACTCCCGCGCATGCGCGAAGACATAGAGTAGGACACAATTTTTGTTTGGAATGGCTTCTCTAGTACGTAGTACATATATCTCAATGTCCAAGACACTCAGCTTTTTTTATATATTTTTCGAAAAAAAAATTGAAACTAAGTAAGGCGCGGCCGTGAACAAATATTAATATAAAGAACCACAATGGAAACTAGTACAAGTATCACTTCTGTAATTAATCATCTAATTGAGATTCACCAAGAAACAATAATCGAAAGTGTAATCAATTAATAATATTTTAATGCGGCGTCTCGACCGGGGAATGAACACGCTTCCACAAAATACCAGTGATAAATAGCAGCTTAATGCTGCTATGTTTCGTCCGGAGACCATTTTTACTGGAAACGAGGCAGTCCACCTTAACCCTCAGGGGTGAAAACACATCTGCATTTCGTTTCTTAATCGAGGATAGATGAAGATAACTATGGGCCACAGCATTCACTTAATATTTGTGGACTCTGTGCTCGTTTACCACCTTTGTTCTATAACAAATCAATTTGTATCTTGTACAGAATATTCGATGATAGCCAAACACGTCAACCACGCGAAGCGTAGACCTACTACAACAGCACTACTTTTCAAGACGTGCTCCAATTCTCCGGTTCCAATGCCGCAGAAATGGTCACGCAATCATCAAGAAGGTGAAGTATTTTCATATCTTCTGTACCATTTTGTAAACCTATGACTTTAACGATGCGCCTTATTCAATCTTGGGAAGCGACAGTTTCCTAACAGCGGGGTGCGGATCGCGAACTTTAAAGGTCGTGGGTTCGAGTCTGGCATCCAACTACTGTCGTGAACCACTCCTAATACAAGCATCTTAAGGTAACTAGGAGTACAGCACAGGGCATGTTAGTGATGTTAATTGCATTGCTAGTATTTAAATAATAAAGAAAACTTTTTTCGTAAAACTAAAGTGACAGACAAACTTGAGAGTCCTCCTGACGGTAAATATTTACTGGAATCCATGGACAGCTGCCGTCCATAGTAGGTGGAACTGTGGTAAGTCAGAGCCTACGCGTTTGTTTACTTTTTTTATAGGAGAGGAGGCAAAGGAGCTTGCGGCTCACCTGATGGTAAGTGACTACCAACGGCCATAAACCAATGCAACACCACGGCAATTGCAGATGCGTTGCCGGTTCTAATTTCACAGTACGCGAGCGACCCAGGTATCATCCCCGTCGGCACTAATGAAATTGTGAATTGCAATTTTAAGTGCTGATTTACCACGTGCTCGGCAGTGGACTTATATAAGCTATAACTTTGTCTTTTAACATGGACACGCGCAGCCAACTGTGGAGATATAGGTTTGCTGTTAGATGGCACAAGTAGGTAGGAAGATGGTACCTACACAGCCTGACTTCTAGATAGATAAGGAAACTCACCATCTAGTAATTTCTGGTTTATATTACATTTATTTACGTGGTAGAGTTATGTTGCTATATTAGTAGTATAGTTGTAACACGAATGGGTCGCCTCAACCGGGGAAGGACCACGTTCTCACAGAATACCAGCGTAAAATAGCAGCTTAACACTGCTGTGTTTCGTATGGTGAGTGTAAAGAACCGGAGACCCTTTTTACTAGAACAGAGACATTCTATCGTAGACCTCACGTCATCCGTATTTTAATTCGCAAACGAAAACAGATGTAGATGTCTATGGGCCACAGCAACCACTTACCATCAGGTGGACTGTGTGTTAGTTTGTTACCCTTATCCCATAAAAAAACATACGTGTATTGTATTATATTTGATTAATTAGAAAACAAATTAATTAAGTTTGAGAACGTCGTACAAAAATAATATTTTTTAAATGTAAGCAAACCTCGTTAAATAAGAGCTACGCCATTATGTCTGTAGGTTAAACAATGACATAAATAACACATGCCAGCTGCTAATAATAATAATGCCTTCCAGACCGAATTCCGGTCACGGCGGTCAGTTTCAACGGAGACTAGCCATCTGCTCAGCACAGGATTATGGTTCACGAGTGTGTGCACGAGCACTGTTTTTGTTTATTGAATAAGAGTGCAAAAACGAGTACACAGTGCAACTGATGGTAAGTGGATGTGGCCCACAGACATCTAGATTTATTCTTAATTAAAAATCAAAATGCAGATACGTATTCACCGTTAAAGACTAAGGTTGAATGCTTCGTTTTCAATAAAAAGGCTCTCCGGTTCTCTACACTCACCATACGGAACGCAGAAGAAGCAACCGGGCTGTTACTGTGATTTTCCTGACAGATAAAAGCCAATAACTGATTTTGGTCAGACCGGTATTCGAACCCGGGAGCTCATGATTAGCAACCACTTTTAAGACCATTTAAGCAACGAGGCAGTCAAACATCGTATATATAAATCATTTAAGAGAATAAATGTACCGATGATTGTCGGCAATATTGTTCAATAGCGCTTACTATTTACCCTACAAGCCTCCTTAGACTCAAAATTCAACCATCATCGTAGTAAATAGCATTTAACGTTATATAATTCCACAGGACCGGACCCACTACAACTAGTGAGTGGTGATGACAACAACCAGAAGTAAGCCGCTGCCCACGTTTTCTTCCTGTATTCTCTTCTCTTCTCTTCTATGTACTATGCAGCTCCCGATACTTACAGCACAGAAGAGTTGGCGTAAGTGAAAACTTCAATCATCAACAGTTAAAAGTTATTTTGAAATATCGTATCTAAATTTTCTCTATCCAGTGTTATTCGATGTCTGCTTTCTCATAAACAATAAATAATATAAACTTAACTGTACGTTTATATCTGCATGAATTATTGAAATCTAAATAATAAAAATTTACTCAGAAAAAATGATTCCACATAGAAATTATTGTTGTATATGTTTGTCTAATGATATCCATGACTTTCTCTGGCACCAGGGCGGCACCACTTTGGTATGATGTAAAATATTTGACAGGTTTCATAGCGGGGAAGTTAATTTGTTTAAGTGTACATAGAGATAATGATTTCTTATACACTACACATTGAATAAAACTACTTTCACGGATTCCCGACGTATTAAAGCACCTGAAACGTCGGGAATCAATTAAAAGCAAGTTATGTAATTAAACGCGCTAGAAAACGTAAAAGTAGTTTTATTCAAGTGTAGGGATATTAATGTTCCTTTCTTAAATATAACTATTACTCTATTTTAATTTGATTAGAAATGGATAAACCAAACTACGATTATTCGTAAGCGTAGTGGAATTAAATAAGGTAAAAATGTGTAAAAAATTTAAGAAGACAGCACTTAGGCATTATTTTGTGAATGTACATACACTGTGTGACCATCTGCGTGACAAATATGTTCACCTCACCTCATTGATATTGCAGCAGCTGAACATTAATTTGTTACTATCAGGTGTTTTTGTATTCGTTTAAAGGTAGAGCTATGTTACGAATCTTATCTTGTTGAGTAACGAATATTTATTTGCTATCGTTTACTTTTAGATGTGTTCGATAGTCTGTTATATCGATATATTTATTTGTCAACTATGTTATACTTTAAATCTGTATGAAAAAATTATTTTGTGAAATCTGTTTTTATGTCACATGATATATCACACAATGTTGCAACAAATTCAGTTTCTGAAATTGCAACTACTGCACTGATGTTCAATTTTTTTTAATATTTTCTTCCAATATATGGATACATTTAATTTAAACTTAAAAACAAAATACTAAATATAATTTAAACATTAAATATGCATTTCCTTAACAATTCTTATACTTTTGTTAAATAATATTTTCCATAAAATTACAACCAAACTTCAAAAATTTCTAACTTAATATGAAATTTCATCTGACACGTTCTTTACCTATGAAATTGTGGTTTACTTGAACTAGCCAGTTTGAATTGTAATAGATATGGTATTATTATTTGGAATTCTAAATTCAAAAAATTTTTACATTTGAGGCATCTTTTCCTTTTTCAAAGTCAGTGATTTATTTGCTTCTTCGGGTTTTGATTTTCTGTTATGATTATTATAACCATAGACTCTTTTGTTATTTCAATATGCATTTTATATATTTATATTATTACTAGCTTTTTACCCGCTGCTTCGCTCGCGTGGTTTTCTTTTTTAGAAACATCATTAAATGTATTCCACGCCAAATTTAGTAAAGATCGATCACTTTTAGAGTCAAGTCGGTGTCTGTGTGTCTAGAATCTAGAATTTTTTGAATTCCCAAAGACTATTGGACCTAGATGATTGAGGGACAAGTGCAAAAATAACTTTTTTAGAATTACATTAATATCATATTATGTCTAGAAATATCTACAATTTTTTTTTATATTGGTCGTGTCTTCCGATGTATCTATCCATAACAAAGATAAATTGTCTTGGAATCCAAATTTACTATTATTATTTACTCTTTACATTCATTTATAATTTATTTTTATCAAAATAATGATGAATTCATGGTCTTATATGCGATATTTGATTCATATCTTTGTTTCCATTTAATATTGATTGGCACCATAAAATAGATTCTGATTTTTTTTCAACGTTCGAGTAGACTTCAAAATTTCATAAATGCAGTTCTGATAATGATGAATACTACACATATGATAAAATAAATTGTAATAAATCACGTTACATTTTAACTTCTATTTAAGCGGGTTGTACAAAAGACATCTTTGGAAGAAAGTTCCATAAAAATTTGCGTAAAACAACATATTGCTGATGTGAAGCACCGACGCTCCGAGAAGTCTGAAAGTGTGTCAACATGTTGAGTATCGTCCCAACTATTATATCAGATCTGATAGACAACAAATAAACCCCCACCCCCCTCTCCATGGGTTCTGTATATTGCCCGAAACGTCATCAATTATAAAAGTTAAAATTAAACACGCTAAAATCCTTATGATTACTTTTATTACAAATGAAGTTCTATTCGCAGTGAACGTGGGTAGAACTACACTCATGATCGAAAGCAGAAAAATATTCGCCTCGTTGTGGCGGCGAAAGAGAATCCGCCACCTCATATCGTTCCGTGTGTGTCCTAAGAGGCGATAGAGGAAAACAAACAGGAGATGGGGAACATCATGTTCCTGACAACAGTTCAAAATTATAAATGCTGCGGATGCCAACCTGCCTGCCAAGCGTGGCAACTATAGCAAATATCCAGCCTATTTGACAAGTTATGGGGGAGACCTATGTTCAGTTCAATGAACTTTTGATAGGTTGTAATGATAACGGTGATGAGTTCTCTTCCTTCGAATCTTTGCTACCGTTAATATTTACGGTAGTGTGAAAACAAAAACGTAACATCTCCGAAAATATAAATGATATAAAAACAGCATAACTGCCCATTAAAACTAAAAAAGTAGCGACCTACATACATGTCACTACTGGGCACAGGCCACAGAGCTTTTGGCCAAAAAAAGTGCTAACGCTGGATCACCTCAGCTGGGGAACTTCTCAGATATTCAGGTTTTCTTTCACCGCCGAGAACGTGGTAAATCGACACTTCAAATTGCATTTAACATACATTTAAAAATATATATTAATGGTTATGTACTATGAAATTTACCTATGCCTTTGACAAGTAAAATAAAATATATCTTTGTTTAAGTAAAATCTGCAATCTTCGATATTTAAAGTATTTTTTCGCAACAGCCTAGTACGGTTTTCGTCGGGGTCGATCAGCAGGTGATCTTCTAATTTACTTAACTCATAGATGGGCGGAGGCAGTAGAGTCCAAGGGGGAGGCATTGGCCGTTAGTTTGGACATAGCGAAGGCCTTCGATCGGGTCTGGCACAAGGCGCTTCTTTCGAAGCTTCCTTCCTATGGGCTTCCCGATAAATTGTGCAAATGGATCACCAGTTTCCTTGCTGATCGGAGCATCAAGGTCGTAGTAGACGGTGCATGCTCTGATTACAAGCCTATCAACGCTGGTGTTCCACAAGGCTGCGTGCTATCACCAACGCTGTTTCTCCTGCATATCAATGATATGTTGCTAACTGGTAGCATTCATTGCTATGCAGACGACAGCACTGGGGATGCCTTATATACCGGCCGTGCCAATATTTCTCGGGAAAACGTCGCCGAGTACCGGGACAAACTTGTGTCTGAAGTCGAGTCTTTGCTTAACAAAGTCTCGGATTGGGGCCGACTAAATCTAGTCCAGTTCAATCCCCAGAAGACACAAGTTTGCGCGTTTACCGCTAAAAAGAACCCCTTTGTCGTATCTCCTCAGTTTCAAGGCACTCCCCTTGCTGCCTCAGCCAGTATCGGAATCCTTGGTGTCGACATATCGAATAGCGTGCAGTTTCGTGGTCACTTGGAAAGGAAGGCCAAATTGGCCTCTAAAAAGCTTGGCGTGCTCAGCAGAGCGAGACAGTATTTCATGCCGGCACATCGCTTGCAACTTTACAAAGCGCAAGTTCGGCCCCACATGGAATACTGTTCTCATCTCTGGGCCGGGGCATCCCAGTGCCAGCTCCTTCCACTTGACCGCATCCAGCGCAGAGCGATTCGAATCGTCGACGACCGAGTTCTTTCCGATCGGCTCGATACACTGGTACTGCGTAGAGATGTTGCATCTCTTTGCGTATTTTATCGCATCTATCACGGGGAGTGCTCTGAGGAATTGTTCGGACTAATTCCAGCCGCTCAATTTCACCATCGCACGTCGCGACAAAGCTCGCGTTACCATCCATACCATCTGGATGATTGGCGGTCCACCACTGTGCGATTTAGAAGAAGTTTTCTCCCTCGCACAACTTCTTTGTGGAATCAATTACCACCAGCGAATTTTCCGAACCGATACGACTTAGGAACCTTCAAGAAAAGAGCTTACACCTTTCTAAAAGGCCGGCAACGCATCTGCAATTCCCCTGGTGTTGCGGTTGCTCATGGGCGGCGGTAGTGAGCCGCATGCTCGTTTGCCCCATATTCTATAAAAAAAAAAGCCTGTTCATTTCCATATCTAGTGTGAGCTATGAAACCACTACTGTCACAAAAATCTTGATTTTTCTGATAATATGAAAACTCAAAAATACAAAACTCCAACAAACTGATTTATAAGTCTCATTAAAGGTATAAAAACTAAAGTAGCAGCTTACATACGTCGCACTACTGTGCACACGGCTCCCCATTACCTATAGTGTTTGTGAGCAGAAAAGAGTATGACGCAATCCTTCAACTACTACTCCGACATTTAGGTTTGCCCGCGAAGTTTTTCTTCAACACTTCACTGGGTACCTATGTAGTAAGTCAGTGCGTAAAATATTGAACTAAAGAGCTTCTCTCCTAATCTCAGTTTTGTGTACAACAGTGTGGTTAGCCATTTTGCCAAACGTGGTTATTGTGGTAAATAATCCCGATAATGTCCACCGGTCTAGATGTTTTTAAGTGTGACAATTTTTGATGCTGAACGAATAAGAATTTGGTAGCATTCTAACATTTAATTTTATCAGTTACTTATCATTATTTTTTTTAGAGAAAGTAGAGGGCGCTAAATTACATTAATACTATGAAAGTCAAAATTATACTATCTAGTAATATCGGCTATAGAAGGAAAAAGGCTCAAGAGCCACCCCAAAACCGGGAACATTTATTTATTATATAGGCAATAAGTGATGATGATTCTGTTAAAAAAATCTGTTTCCGTTAAAAAAACACGCTACTCGTATCAGCGACCCTAGCGGTGAAAAACTATTTGACGATATGAAGATATTATCATGAAATAGCAATATTGTGTTTAGTTACTGATATCGTTAAACGATCTCTATTCTTTGTTTGGCTAAGCTATATCATGACATGGTCAACAAACAGTGATAAATATCATGAAATGACACCATTTCACGAAATAATGCTTTCATGAGAATTTCGCAATAATTGCAGGACGGACCAGTTTTAATCAGTTTACATAAAGATATAGTATTAAACGTATGAAAATTGATATGTTTTTAGTTCAAAATAATATAAATGTTCATACGTTTGATAGATGATGTCAAGATGTTTTTAGATAATAGATGTCACTTTTATCTATTATTTTTGAAATTTTAATTATTGCACTTTTAAAATGAAATAACGATTAAATTAAGTTTCAGTATTTTAAAATAATTTTATTAATGTAATTATTTAAACATATAAATGTAAGTTATTTATATAATTTATTAGTTACTAAAGGCAAAATGTAGGCTTTTTTCATTTGATGATAGATGGCGCTGTTTTGATAATTAAGACGTATATCGTCAGCGGAGTTTCAAATTGTTATGCAAAGGTTAAAACTAATTTAAACTAAATTTACAAATATAATATTTCTTTTAAAAACACCCGTCATCCCGTCTATTAACTAAAATAATCATATTATATAATAGAAAATTAACATCTAAAGGAAGAAAAATACTAAACCTTCTTTATTAAGTTTCGTAATCGGATAAAAAGTAGCTTATAAGTTGCCCCGGGGTACTAACTATCTACATATAAAATTTTATGGAAATTGGTCCAGTAGTTTTTGCGTGAATCGGTAATACACAGAGAGACAGACAGACAGACAGACAAAAATTCTAAACACCACTAATTTAGCTTCAGCACACTTTATTTAGTAATACGGACCTTGTTTTTTCAAAAATATGTTACAATTACAGACACGGCTTTTCTACAGATTTATTATATGTATAGATACATAGCACTACCAAGGAAGTTACGCTTTAATGGTCTTGTCGCTTTCGTCCGGGAAATTTAGTCCTCACAGAGACGTTGGTATTCTTAAAATCAACTGAATTAAGGCCAGAGCCCCTTATTTATCTGTCATATTTTAGTCTTCCATTTTGTTTTTTTAATAGTCTTCCACTTTTTTCAAAGTTGAAATTACTTTAGGACAGGCAAAATTTATATTTCCAATTTTCAGTGAAAAACGCATTCAAAGAGTTCATCTATTCTATAACACCAAAGAGCTCATAACATGCCAAGAATAAATTAAATTCTTCGTATATTTCGATATTCGAATTCTATGCTTCAAGGTTAACGCTAAACTTAAGTTTCTCAGACTTCATTATTTTAAAGGACGTCCTCTAGTTCAGAAAACTTTGGAATAGTTGGTTACATGGTTACATGTTAATTCAATGGCTTATTTTATGGTCCTAATTTAAACAATTTCTTACGAATCATGCTAATTTAAAATGGTTGATTATTTGTTGTTGTTATGTTCACAGATTAATTTATAATGATATAGTAGTACGCCTATAAGGCAATATAATCTATGCTCAGCAGTGAGCATTTACAGGCTGTAATGGAATATAGTAAACACAAGCACTTTAAGCTTAGTTGACGCTGGTGGTTAAGAGCAATATATTATTAATATGATTGCTAGTAATATTAAAAAAACTAAGGCTATATTTCTGGAATAATAGCTTTTAACAGTGGTAGAGCCACGCGGCAGCTTTTGCTGTCGCACGGATGGGCCGGCTCGAACCGGGGTGGTACCACGACCTCACAGAATACCAGCGCGAAGTAGAGGTTTACCTCTGCGTTTCGCTTGGTGAGTGCAGGTGGCCGGAGGCCCTTTTTACTGGGAATGAGGCATTCCATCTTAGTCCTCACGGGTGGCAACGCATCTGCATTTTGATTCGCAAACGAGGATAGATGTAGAAGTCTATGGGCCGCAGCAACCACTTACCATCAGGTGGACTGTGTGCTCGTTTTTCACCCTTATCCTATAAAAAAAAAAGTTGCGAATATAATCGGGTCCCAGGTTCCGAAGGATTTTGTTTTGTTATGACAATGCGAGTTCTCAACGCAAGTTCGGCTACCCCACGATGTACACGAAAGGGATGCGAGTAAGTGTAGTTCCTAATTTAATTTCCTTGTCCCCTAATTTGAAATCTTTCATAGAGGACAAGGCCATATCGCGCGTATTCGGTATTCCTTGAGCTAGTTGAGGTCAAAGAATTTTAAAAAACTTTTTAGATGTGATGTTAGAGAGACAAACTACGTTACATTGCGTGTTAGCATTGCTTTTATATTAACAAATGTTGCTACAGTTACCATAATAGTATTTTATTGAAAACAATATCATAAAAATATCCTTTATTTTCATCTTATGTCATTTAATCTTATGAAATCCTTTAAAACATGGAACGGGATCTGGCACCCCAAACTATAGCAGTCTTACTCTGCTACTGCTTTCCGTTACACAGGTCTGGCTATTCGTCATTTCGTTCTGGCTTAAACGAGACGTGCCACCTACTAACATATGTCACCACGGAACTGTGGCTACACCGTCATTTCTCCACTTTGTCATCATTGCTTCTCACGATACCCACGGACTTATGGTGATGACACTTTTAAGGCGTCACCACTCGGTAGTAACAGATATGTAATAAATTACGTAATTACATTTACGTCATATTTGTTTATTTATTTCGTGAATTTACATTTTTTAAATTGTAATAAATTAAAAATACTAAGATAAAAGTTTAATTGACCCTATACCATAATATTTTAGTGAAATCTTTATAAAAATTATTAAAATGATTTTCAAGGCAGTAGTTAAAAACGTATTACTAACGCTAATAATATAAATATTAAAAATTATAAAAAAAATTAAATTATTAAAAAAAGTATTATTATCAAAAATGTAAAATTTAGACTTTTAGGGATAGATCTTAATCAAGCACTGTAAAATGTGCCGTATTTATTATTCAAATAACCTTAGACTTGGCTTATAATTATTGTAGTTCCACAGATGACAACAGAACTACGGAATATTAATAACAGAACAATAGCCTTTGTAAGTTAGGATTGTATTGCACGTCGATGGACCGCCTGTAGATTCAGAAATATTTAGTTAATAAGGAGTATTATTTAGGATTAACTCACACCAACATAAAAGGATGGATGTGGCGCTGCGTACATTTCTGTTTATAGTAGCGCTTGCTCAACTTCTTCATGTCTCTTCTACACTACTCGGGAAGTTACCTCAATGAAGTGCTCATCAAAGTCAATCGCAGTCCGAAAAACGTGAATACACACTCGTGTAACTTCGCGAAGAGCTCAGTCGGCTTGATTCGCCCGCACCCTTAACATAAATAATGTACAAGAGGTAGCTGCTATATTTACGTAATTGTGTAAACAGTACTTTTGTCACGTTAGTTTAATAAGGTTTTAAAGTTAGATACAATATAATCATTATAATAAAGTATGATAAGGTACTAATTTGTCTAAACTAATTTAAACATAACCTAGCAAGCTGTAAGTATTACTACGTAGTACTATTATTTATTCTGTGGTATTACTTAGCTGTAATCGCTTCGATTTTTGGGCAGATTGCCAATCACTAAGTAGGAAGTTAATATATTATTTTCGTAAGTGGTTTGGATATTTTTTTGAGTTGTTTGGATATTATTTACCGGAGACCCTTTTTACTGGAAAAGAGACATTCCATCTTAGTCCTCACGGGTGACAACGCATCTGCATTTTGATTCGCTAACGAGGATAAATGTAGATGTCTATGGGCCACAGCAACCACTTACCATCAGGTGGACTGTGTGTTCGTTTGTCACCATATCCTATAAAAAAAAATATTTAGGCCTGTTTTCTGCTTATAGTGTCATTTAGGGTTTCTTAAATTTCCTTTGATCGGCTTATGGATGAAGAATTCACTTGTGTGTGTGTGTGTGTTTGGAACACACACAATTAAATTTTTCTCTATTTTTTAAAAAAACGTTACCCCGCACTAGGATTTTCTCCTGTATCATGGAGGCAGTTTACAAACATTACAAGGACAAACATCCAGACCCGGAACAAAAGGGATTACATTTAATCGAGTATAAATGGAGGTTATAGCCATTCCACAATTTAAATCTCGAGTAAAATCGTGTACCGTTTTTTCGTGCAATCTACATTATAGCTACATTTGGAATAACTACATACGTGAGTAGCAGAAAGAAT